GACACCTCCTGGGCCGGTGATGTCAGTAAAGAAAAAACAAGTTAAGAGCGTCAAAAGTGGATTGGGATAGTCCTATAATTATATTATTTGATAACTAAGTTTATCATAGCAGAGCTAGCTAAAATAATTTAATACGTTTTGTGCGAAACATTTGTATGTTTTTATATGAATAAATATTATTTCATATTTATAGATATTTATTTTAAAATCCTAATCAAATACCAAACATTGAAATAAAAATGTTTGTGGCTCTTTAAAACCTGGAAAATTTTGTAAATTGTTACTTTTGGCTCTTCCGTCTCAAAAGGTTGCCGACCCCTGGCCTATTCTCCATCTACCCACTCTGCCAAAATTACCCTTATTTATTCTTTTTAATATTTTTTAAACAGAGATTTGAGTCACCATTTAATAAAACATTTGGATCGTCAAGTTAAAAATTAAAATTGTAGACTTGTATTATGTATAAGTAAACCATCTTAAATTAATGAAAGTACATGTCAGAAAGAAGTATTGCTATTGTAAATATGTACCAGTCCTCACAAGCCGATAATGAAAACTGTTATACTAAAGCGAACATTGCAAGGTAAACCGACGCTGTAAATTGCATGTCTATGGCCCACAGAAAAAAAAAAGAATTAAAAATAAAAAAATTAAAATTAAAAATTTAGAAAATTAAAATGTATCCAGTCCTGGTCCTGCAAGCGACACAACACCAAAATAAAGGAAATCAGAACACACAGGTTAAAAACCTCAGGTAAAGCAATAACCTAATTGTGTGACCCACTCCGACAAAGCTATAATACACACCTTATAATAAGTGTACACACACATGTATATATATATATATATATATATATATATATATATATATATATATATATATATATATATATATATATATATATATAGATAGATAGATATAGATATAGATATAGATATATATATAGATATATATATATATATATGTACACACTAAATAATTAGTGTGGACATACATACATGTTATATATATATATATATATATATATATATATATATATATATATATATATATATATATATATGTTTATATATATACGTGTATATATATAGGCATATATATATATATATATATATATATATATATATATATATATATATATATATATATGTTTATATATATACGTGTATATATATATATATATATATATATATATATATATATATATATATATATATATATATATATATATATATATACGTGTATATATATATATATATATAGTTAAGCAAAAAAGCCTTAAAGATTATATTTCAGACCATAGTTCTATAACCCCACCGTCATGGTCCACTGGTTGCACCCTGCTCTCTTGCCTGGAAAAATCTAATTGTTTGCACATGGTGTTTATGTTAATTGCACATACCTTGACTTGTTTGCGACAGGTAGAAATTGAGGAAGTTAATTACCTAGCTAAGTATTGTATACTTATGGTAAATGTGAATGCTATTTATTTTCTGGAAAATATATGCTTCGTGTTTTAGTATTTTACCTATACGATTCGTGGTTTTTCCCTTCCTTGATAAATAGGAGAGTTCACCTGTTTCGGTGTCCTTGACAAATGAAAGGATAGTGTGGTCAGCACTATGCCTAACTGCCTTTACTTTCCCTAACTTGAGTCAGGTGCTCACCACAGTTGGGTGGACTTAAAAACTTCATTATTCCTAAACGTAACAAATCTATTCATCAACATTACTGTTTTTGTAAACCTAACCCTCATTTTAAATCAGATATTTTTTTGCCATAAAACTAATTTTAAAATCACTAATTTGAAATCACAACCCTAACCCTTCCCTAGCCCAATTTGGGTTTGAATCACATACCCAATCCTAATCTCAACCTTATAATTGCGAGACTAGACCTTCCACAATTACAGTACCACCATTAAATATTTGTTACAAAATTTAAAAACAAAGATGTTGTGTTTTAAAATTTAAATATTAAATGCTTCAATTAGCTTGTAATTAAGTATTTGCGTTTTCGCGCTTTCAAATTAAAAAATTAAATCTCTCCGAAAGTGCAAACTTAAATGGGAAAATGAAACATACTTTTTTTTCTTCTAAAATGAAACATTATATTGGTGAATAGAATTTACAGTATTTATTTAGTTGTCATGTTAAAGGGCCTACTATTTGAACAAATGTTTTAGTTCATTATTTATTTAGGTAAAGTGTTTACAAAATACCGCATTTTGAATATAAAAATACAATACTATTTACGAGACATGCATTTAGATCCGGTTTAAAAAAAATGCCTTTTACCTTTTATTGTAAACAGTGCAAGCGAAAAAAATAGACTGTAGTGATAACATTAAGGGGCCCAAAAGGTCGCGAGGCCATAAGGGTTGGGGTCCCCAAAGAGTGGGCCCCTAAGGGTTGGTGGCGAATAAGGGGAGGTCCCTAGGGTGTGGGTCCATAAAGGCTGGGGGCCCCTAAGGGTTTAGGGCCCCTAAGGGCTGAGGGCCCCTAAGGTTTAAGGCCCCTAAGGGTTGAGGGGCCCTAAGGGTTGAGGGGCCCTAAGGGTTGAGGGGCCCTAAGGGTTGAGGGGCCCTAAGGGTTGAGGGTCTCTAAGGGTTGAGGGCCCCTAAGGGTTGAGGGCCCCTAAGGGTTGAGGGGCCCTAAGGGTTGAGGGCCCCTAAGGGTTGAGGGCCCTAAGGGTTGAGGGTCTCTAATTGTTGAGGGCTCTAAGGGTTGAGGGCCCCTAAGGGTTGAGGGCCCTAAGGGTTGAGGGTCTCTAATTGTTGAGGGCTCTAAGGGTTGAGGGCCCCTAAGGCAGAGGCGGATTAAGCTTCAGCGGGGCCCCTGGCTGAAACTTTTCCGGGGCCCCCTTTAACTATATATATATATATATATATATATATATATATATATATATATATATATATATATATATATATATATATATATATATATATATATATATATATATATATATATATATGTAGTTTATATAATGACATCCCAAAACAGGGGCTTCTTCCCAGAAATAAAGGTCGAATGGAATAAACTAAAGGTTAACAGAACTAAAGACCAAGTAACTTTTATATTTTTAATTTTATAGGGAACATTTTCGAGCTTTCCTGATAGCAAACTCTTCTATTATTTCTGTATAATCTAGTGAGCTTACAATGTCATTTTCTATGCTCATAAGTGAGAGCATACTAAGTCTCTTCTGTCCCATAGTGCTTCTTAGATCGCGTTTAATCTTTTTTATTTTGGAAACTAGGCTCTCCGCTGCAGTTAGACGTCATCATACACAGTTAATTCGAAGAGCAATGTGCACATTTGGAAAGCTCTAAATGCTCTTGTATCTATTAATAATAATTTATTTTGAAGATATACACTTAAAATTGTTAGCTGAGTACCCCACAATATAGAAGAATATTATGAATTCATTATTTATTGGGCATAAAATATAATATTTTGTGAATGGTGGAAAACCTGAGGGGGTTAATTTTTCAAGATGGCAGCCGTTGTCATAGTTACCAAGATTTTTCCACCAATTTTTTAAGTGGAAATGCATATGCGGATGTATTTCAATAAAGCTGTAAAGAAATAACTGTTTTCTAATGAGTATTAAAAAAGTTTTTTTACCGGAGCCTCCCCCCTAAAAATATTTTTTACTTATCCAGACGAAAACATTGACTACGGCTAAATTCCAAGGAATTCACAACTCAAATGTTTTAATGGGTGAAACTTCGGGGCGGGGAGACAGTTGGGGGACATGTTTGTGGGGGGGGGGGGGGGTAGATGCCATGCCCTGCAATAGAGTCTTATCCGGTTTTGTATTACCATGCGGGACAGCGGTAACGTCTTTATTTATAGACTTTTCCTCTCTTGGCCTGTTTTGCTATTCCTATAGTGCAATTAATACGGGTGAAAGTGTGCCTTGAACTAGAGATGTTTCGCATTTTTAAAATCTTAAGCCACTCTGTCAAAAGGTCAATACTTTAAAAAAAACCACTTCTACATCGGTCCATGTCTAACTATCCACTTTGCTATGTCAGACCCTCCCTACAACTGGGACGTTTTTCCCCAAATTTAACACCCATGTAACACATACTCTCGAAACAAATCGTCTACCGTCAAGTTTACACCGTCCGTATTAGTCTCTACCAGTCTAGTTTTATTTTTATCTATATACGCTATGGCAATACGCAAACAACCCCTCATACAAATACCCCCGACACCCACCCTCCCTCAGCCTCGACACTATGTGTTTTTAAATGGTTTTCAAAACGTTTTCTATCGGTAGAGGGACTGCTGGTTAAATAAGGCACAATTAAACATTAAAGATCAGAGAGTATCTGATGGATCTCGCTTGTCTCGGCACATTCACTGATAAAACTATTATTTAAGTGACGCTTGTTAATTACTTGGTGGAATTTTAACTCATACTTCTGACATTAAAAAAATACTTTAAAAAAAATAATGATAAAGTAATATTTGCTTTAGTTGAGAAATCAAAATTTGGGGGCCCCTAAAATTCGGGGGCCCCTGGCTGCAGCCCCTTCAGCACCCCCCTTAATCCGCCACTGCCCTAAGGGTTGAGGGCCCTAAGAGTTGGAGACCCCATTTGCCAGCCTCGAAACTTAATCCTTCACTTACCTGTCTAACATGTCTATGTCGTTTGTTTAATGAAAGGACCAACACACACACAACAATAATTTCACGCTCTAATGCTAAGATGGGGGCCGTTCACGTTTATGTGGACTAGTAAGTTGCATTAGCCCTATACTGTTGTTATTCTTTACCCCTATACGTTATATGAAACGAGAAAAAAAACGTAGAACTGTTTGCCACTAGATCGAGAGGAACACTTACCTTAGACTTCATACCAGTTTTGTATAGTAATTTGAAATTAAACGTATAAAAATAAGTAATTTTGGTATCATTTTATACCTGAAGTATAGTGCCCTTACTAAAGATTAATCTCTAATTGGAAGACGGAAGAAAATACTTACCATTTACTGCTAGAAATTTTCACACTGTGAAATAAATAATACTAAGCCAATTAAACACTAGGCCAATTAGCTGACGTCATAAAATTCCCATCGTTTGTGCAATGTGTCCTTTTGGTGTGTTGGGTTCCCTTGTGAATTTTATACATCCATTTCTTGCAACAAAGGTCGGCAACACAACACGGAGTAAGTCAGGGGAGAGAACTAGAATAAAGGGCACTTTTTTTTATGTGGTGTAGATATTAATGTCCTACACGCGTGGAGGATTTTTTTTTCCTCTCTGCGCCGGTAAGGAGGTTACGTTTTAGGGGAGAGAAGAAAGACAGAAGTGGGAGAGGTGTCGTGAGGTGGGGGGGGGGGGGGGGGGGGAGGGAAGACGACCGACAATGTTTTCCGTGTACCGTTAAGTCTGTTCGCTGTTGGCGCGGTGACCTTTCAGAAAAATAAATGTAGTAAGAGTCACCTCCCTTTAACTTTAACCACATGCGTGGCGCAGACGGGGTTTGTGTTTCCCAGATTCGAGTTTCTCACTTGCACGTTGCACTGCAAATCGGTGAGAATAACCTTTTTATTTTATGTTCTAGGGCTCGAAGATAATAAAAAGAATTTTTGTTTTCCAGAGGACGGAAAGGACGATTCTAAAGAAAGGTCGTGATGAAAAGAAAAATCTGGCATTTGAGGAGCATTGCAGATTGGCAGTGGTGACTAATGCTGGGGGAGGGCAGAGCTTGGGGGGGGTGGGGGTGCATTCACGTGGTGTTGATTACAGAAGCGGTAAACACGGTGTCCATGTGGTGTGAGATCGAGGCTGAGTTGTACATACACACGTCACAAACATGAGCGCGTGAGTCAGTTGTATGTACATAACAAACGGTGGTATGGGGAGTTAGAAAAATGTGTGATGTGGGCTATAAATTGGGGGAGTCAGAATAACATGTGATGTGGGCTATAAACTGGGGAGTCAAAATAACATGTGATGTGGGCTATAAACTTGGGGAGTCAAAATAACATGTGATGTGGGCTATAAATTGGGGGAGTCAGAATAACATGTGATGTTGGCTATAAACTGGTGGAGTCAGAATGTGATGTGGGCTATAAACTGTGGGAGTCAGAAAAATGTGTGCTGTGGGCTATAAATTGGGGGAGTCAGAATAATATCAAGTGATGTGGGGTATAGACTGTGAATCAGAATGTGATGTGTGCTATATGATAAGAAGTAGATGATGTTTAATTTACATTTTTTTTCACGGTCGCTAGCAAGGCGCCAGGTAGTAAATTTTCCCTGGCACAAACCCAGTCCTTCTCCCAGCCCTAACTCTAACATAGTTTGACACTAACTATAAGCCGAATTATAATCCTAACTCTTGCACGTATACTGACAGCAAAAAAAAAACGTGCACGGAAAAGAAATAAACAGGGAGTAACCTCCCCTAAACTTTCTCGAAGATTCTTATATAACACAACGGGGGATGGCAATGATTTTTAATCCATTTTTAATTACTTAAACTGTTTATATATAGAATAGAGTTTTGTAGAAAAAAGAATTGTGCATCAAGTGAACGCCAAATAATATGTGTATAATAGTGCGAAATATTATTGCGAAATTTCATTTATCTATCTGAAACAGTACTCAAGTTATAGGCTTTTGAAAAATTTAAATTAGAATAAGTTCCACTCCCAGTTACCGAAAATCGCTGAAAGATTGATACAGAAATACAAATTTAATATAATACTTATATGTGAAATTTCATCAACCTAGCTATAACGGTACTCAAATTGTCGTGTTCACAGGTACACATTCATACAAACACATACACACACATAGGCATACGGACAAGATTGCAAAACTATGTTTTTCCGACTCAGGGAGGTGTAAAACGTCGAGATTTATAAAAATCTCGATTTTTTAATATTTTTTTTTTGCACAATCACAATACTTCCTTTATACTTCGTATACGAGAAAGTAAAAACATGATAACATTAATATTATATCAACTACAACTACACAAATAATATATTTAAAATGATAACAGTCTCTTCAATCGCTAATTTAAAGAAAATATATGCTTAGTTACAGTTTTATTTTAATAGAACTAACAACTTGTTAAATTACAACTCATTAGTGCTAATATTAATTACACTAATCAAATATCGTTAATTAATAAGGTGACGAAAATACAATGAAGGGAATATAGTACGCGATTAATGGCCCCGTGTTTACGGTAAAATACAATATGACACAACACCACCGGCTCTTCTTTACAGTACAGTAGCAAACTTTACTATCGTACTTCTGGAAATTAAAATGATAAGCAATGGTTCTTAACTAGCAATAAATTCGTTTACCAAACATTCAATTCGATTTAATGGAGAGATTATCACGAAGCTCAAACCCTATGTTTTCCAGGCCTTTAATACTATACTTTGACCAGAGGCGTAGCGACGGGGCGGGGAAGGGGGAGGCATATATCCCCGAACGCCGACCCAAGGGCCCCAAAATGGGTTGGAAAAAAAATTAAAAGCTCATTTTAGCTGCATTTTTGGATTATAAATATAAAAAATATATGGGGGGTGTCAAAATGAAAATTTGTCCCCGGGCGCCGGGAGGGTTCGCTACGCCTCTGAGTTTGACTGAGTAAATAAGTGTAAATATTAATTCCTTTACGTACTTTACAGAGCAGTGTAATGATAAAGTTTCTCTTTACATCAATTCACGTGGTATCATTTTTTTGCTACCTTTCCAGAGTAGCCAGGGTATATTGTTTAACCTTCTTCTTAGTTCGTCTTCAGTAACTCTCATTATTTTCTTCTTCTTCGGTCTTAAATAGTAATGTTGGAAAGAATATTTTTCAAAAAAATTCAGTATTTTGGGTCATCAAGTTAAGCGCCTTATGGACTGTTGACTCCTGTTTCAACATGCTTTCATTTCGCATTTGCTTCCATAGTCTTTGTCGAACAAAAAGGCAGCAGTTGGGTTTCGAACGCGGGGCTTTTCGGTTTAGCATCTATGAGCTCTACTGACCTGATTACGCCAGCACCCACTTGGTTAGAGATATTGTAGTATGGATCAGTTAGCTTGTACGTGTCAACTTAAATAAACCGGGAGTGATCTCCCATAAACTTTCTCGAATATTCTGATATAAAACAACAGGGGATGGCAACTCTGGAAATAGCCATGATTTTTAATCCATTTCTAATTACTTAAACTTTTTAAAATAGAATAGAATCTCGTAGAAAAAGAATTGCACACCAAGTGAACTGCAAAACAAAATGTGTATAATAGTGCGGAATATTATTAGTACTTTATAAATTCACATGCGTTTTTTTTAGAAATCGGAAATAGCGTACATTAGTACTTCCGGTCAACGGAAATTACTCAAAGTTTGACAGAAGGCAGAGAATTAGATATTTTACTTACATGTGAAATTTCATTTATCTATCTGAAACAGTACTCAAGTATAGGCTTTTGAAAAATTAAAAGTAGAAAAAGTTTCACATCCGGTTATCGGAAATCGCTCAAAAGTTTATATGGATCTATGAAATTTCATCAATCTATCTGTAACGGTACTCAAGTTATCGGGTTTACAGACACACACACAGACACACACACACATACACACACACACACAGACATACGGACAAGATTGCAAAACTATGTTTTTCCGACTCAGGAATAGTTGTAAAATGTCGAGATTTGCAAAAATCTAGATTTTTTTTTTAGTACAATTATAAAACTTTCTCTATACTTCGTAATCGTATATACGAGAAAGTAACAAAAGGAACACGCTAACAGAAAATAACAAAGATTGACGTGGGGATGATTTATAGATAAGCGTACATATTTTTAAAAATTGAGTTTACGAGTTTACCAATGCCAGTGAAAAATAAAATCACTTGCTGTGGAACTGGGCCACAGTTCGACACTGCGATGGTAAAGTCAATTCGGTGTTTATTGGCTGCGATGGTTAAGTTAAATCGTGTTTACTGGCTGCGATGGTAAAGTTAATTCGGTGTTTATTGGCTGCGATGGTTAAGTTAAATCGTGTTTACTGGCTGCGATGGTAAAGTTAATTCGGTGTTTATTGGCTGCGATGGCTAAGTTAAATCGTGTTTACTGGCTGCGATGGTAAAGTTAAATCTGTGTTTATTGGCTGCGATGGTAAAGTTAAATCGTGTTTACTGGCTGCGATGGTAAAGTTAAATCGGTGTTTACTGGCTGCGATGGTAAAGTTAAATCGGTGTTTACTGGCTGCGATGGTTAAGTTAAATCGGTGTTTGCTGGCTGCGATGGTTAAGTTAAATCGGTGTTTGCTGGCTGCGATGGTAAAGTTAAATGTTTACTGGCTGCGATGGTAAAGTTAAATTTGTTTACTGGCTGCGATGGTAAAGTTAAATCGGTGTTTGCTGGCTGCGATGGTAAAGTTAAATGTTTACTGGCTGCGATGGTTAAGTTAAATCGGTGTTTGCTGGCTGCGATGGTAAAGTTAAATGTTTGCTGGCTGCGATGGTAAAGTTAAATGTTTACTGGCTGCGATAGTTAAGTTAAAATCTGTGTTTACTCGACACTCGTGCTGTTGTTTGTAAACATCTCGCCATGGTTCTACGCCTTCTAATAATAGATTTTTTCTAATCGGAATATCTGTTTATCGGGTAGGAATTTTTAAACCGCTGCCGTCAATCGAGGCTTTCTGAGAATCCTAATCTTGAGCTTGGATATGAATAAGTGTCAGCAGTATTTGAGTGAGACTTAGAGTGTGTGGGTGAGGTGCATGCAGAGTTTCTTTCAGGCATCTCTTCACCCCCTTCCTGAAGCACGTCTACTACTACTACTACTACCCCCCCCCCAACGAAATAGAAGAAAATATATTTTATATTTTAAAAAATATTATACTTTAACCAGTCCACACTTCCCCCTAGAAAATTTAAGTGAGCCCCTAGTCCCACCTCCACCCCCCTACTCAACTTTGGAACATTCCCGGGAGAAACATGTCAGAAAGAAACACTGACTGCAAGAGGTGTTTTCGGATTGACCAGTCAACAAGTAGCGGCTGCCTGACACCCCGCCAGTGTTTCTTCCAGACTTTTTTCTCCGGGAGGGGGGGGGGACGGGACACTGTTAAAAGTATATATTTTCTATATAAATTCCATTTCATTCGTGGGGGGTTGCGGTAGACTTTTTTCGGGGGGGGGGGGGGGGGGGGGCAAAGCATTGCCTGGAAGAAACTTTGCATCCAGCTCAATTTTGGATTTTTCTCTCTAAACGATAGCAAAGTTCACCAACAGAATG